GCCCCCTCCCAAGCACAGATCTCCCCAGGAGCGGGCATGCTGGCACTGAGCCCCATTAGCCCGGTTGGCAATGAGAAGGCAGAAGTGGAGAGTCCCCAAATGGCACCTGGAGCACAGAGCGTTCCAGGCAGCAATGGAGAGAGGTTTTACCTTCACGTCCTCCCACAGGTCCTTCTCCTCTTTCAGCACACGGCTGGTGTGCAGCGGGGTCTGGGGCACCTGCATGGATTGCTGCCGAGAGAGAGAGGAGCGTGAGCTGGAGCCACAGGCATGGCACCCCATCCCTGCCCCACTTCCATAGAATCCCAGACTGGTTTGGGTTGGAAGGGACCTCAAAGCTCATCCAGTCCTAACCCCCCTGCCAGCAGCAGGGACACCTTCCACTAGACCAGGTTGCTCAAAGCCTCATCCAACCTGGCCTTCAACACTTCCAGGGAGGGGAAAGCCACAGCTTCTCTGGGCAGCCTGGGCCAGTGTCTCACCACCCTCACAGCAAAGAATTTCTTCCTAATATCTAATCTAACCCTACCCTCTTCCAGTTTCAAGCCATCACCCCTTGTTCTGTCACTCCCTGCCCATCCCATCCTGCTGCCCCATCAGCCCCACACTCACCATGATCCAGGGGTGGTTCATGAACTCCGTTATCGTCATGCGCTGCGTCGGGTCCGTCTTCAGCAGGTTGCGGATCAGCTGTTTAACTGGAAGGGATTGTGCAGGGCCAGGTGTTAGCAGGTCCCAGGGGGACTCTCCCCATGCTCCAACCTGAACCAGCAGCCCCAAAACACCTGCACGTGCCTCCCACCCTCTCTGTGCCACAGATCTCACCGTGAACAAACCCTTCAGCAAAAGCCTCTTGAGCAAAGAGGTGAAGCTGCTGCATCACCGAGAGGTGACCCCACAACCTGCCTGGGCTTCCCCCAGCACTGCTGGACACAGGCTGACCCCAAAGGGAGACCTCGGCCCGGGGACAAGCCACCCGGCCCGGGGACAAGCCACCACGGGGACCACATTTCCCTTCCTCCGACACTTCAGACCATTCAGGATTGGGAAATTCATACTGGCCCATTCGGATTCGCTTCTTCATGCCGGGTGAGATGGCCAGGCCATGGTTGGAGTAGAAGGGGGGGTACCCACACAGCCTGCACCGGGAGAGGAGCAGAGTCAACGTGTCACCTCAAATCCCTCCCCGTCAGTGCCCACGGGACACAGGGCAGTGCCAGGAGCAGGAGCAGTGCAGCTGGGAAAGGCTCAGCCCTGCCAGCCAGCAGCTGAGCTCGAAAGCTGCATCCCCCCCTCCTGACCCTGGCAGGATGGAGAGGAACCCGTCTGACTTACAGAATGTACATGATGACACCGAGGGACCACATGTCACAGGACTTGTCGTACTTCTCTGGGCCCAGCACCTCTGGGGCTGGTAAAGAAAGAAACAAAGTCCTGAGTCAAAGTGGCAGCACCAGGTGAGAGGGATCTGACCGTCCCACAGAATCATTAAGGTTGGAAAAAACCTCTGAGATCATCAAGTCCAACTGTCAACTGAACACCACCATGCCCAATAACCATGTCCTGAAGTGCCATGTCTACATGTTTTTTGAACATCTCCAGGGATGGGGAACCCACCACTTCCCTGGGAAAGGGGGAGTGGTCCCCCATTGGGGGGCGGGGGAGGCATGCTAGA